AAATATATTTTTGTTTACACATACTGAGTTCCGAGTTCCGGACCTCCGAACCCCGAAACCTGAAACCCGAGACCCGGCAGTCCACAATTCCGGGGTTCAGGGGTTGGTAAAATGTGTATGAATATATGAAAGGTTGAATGAAACATTTTTGAAAGATGTCTCATATCAAATGTCAAGTCCCGAGTTTCAACTTCCGGGTTTTGGGAGTGCCGAGTCCTGAATCCCGGAGTCCTGAATCCCAAAATTCAAAACTCGGGACTTAACATTTGATATGAGACATCTTTCAAAAATGTTTCATTCAACCTTTCATATATTCATACACATTTTACCAACCCCTGAACCCCGGAATTGTGGACTGCCGGGTCTCGGGTTTTGGGGTTGGGGGGTCCGGAACTCGGAACTTGGTATGTGTAAACAAAAATAGATTTCAAACATGGGTAAGTCAATGTGTTTGTCAATCAACTCAATTGTACATCAAATTTTATTGATCTCCTCAAATTTCCCCAAGTTCCGAGTGCCAGGACCCCCGAACCCCGAGACCCGGCAGTCCACAATTTTGGGGTTTGGGGGTTGGTACATCTCGGTTTGGGGTTTGGCACTGAAAATTTGACATATATATTTTTGTCAGTGTTGTGCTTCTGGTGTCCATGCTTAGAAATAGGATATGTTGCACACCAGGGTTCAGGTGTGGGGTTTTTCCACTTCAGTCCTCAATTATTGGTCAATGCCACACATGGTCGATTCATGTTTTTGTGCTTAGGGGTTTAGATTTGGTGGTCGATGGTAGGTATATGCACTCATAGTGTACATGTATCCTACGTGTTTGATTCACTGGTGGCTACATCAGCTGTATGTCTTGATGAAATATATCTAGGCTCACCCATATATGTACCCATCTATGTACAATTCCCCCATGTTGGCCCACCTGTCTATGTAATACATCCTATGTTGGCCCACTGGTCTATATAATTATACCCCACCTTGGCCCACCTGTCTATGTAATAAATATTTTATCGCACCCTTGGCCCACCAGTCTATTTGATATCCCTTTCGTCGGCCCACCCGTATATGTAATACTTTCCACGTCGGCCCACCTGTATATGTAATACACCCCACATCAGCCCACCCATCTATGTAATATTCCCCTACCTCGGCCCACCCATATATGTAATACACCCACGTCAGCCCGCCCGTCTATATAACAATATTTGCCTTACATCTCTCTTCAGCCCAGCTGTCTATAATATCCTACTCTACATATTACCCAGATGGGCCCACCCATCTCCATGAATGATCATATTCCCCTGGCCCATCCATCAACATCAAGGATATATATATCATTGGCATACATGGGCCCACCCATCTCCATCGGAAATAATATGTGTCCCGGCCCATCCATCATCATCGAGAATATACACAACATGGGCCCATAATCCGCTGGCCTGTATAATACGGAATTTGTCACTGAAGGGGCTCGAACCAACGGACACCTTTGGCAAAGACAAGGGTACAGTGCGCGCTGACCTGCACCAAACTGGTTTGATGCATGAACGACTAATGCTCTCTCATGAGCCTAATACCCTAGAAATCACTATGAAACCATTTCTCTCTATTCTGAAGTTACAAAGCAACCCAGACAGAATACCATTCCACTGGACTAATATAGGCTGAATATTTTTGTACATTTAATTTTGGAATAAATCTTGATTAGTCACCCTCGATGATGACTCAGAATAAATTCCACGCATGTCAGGCAACTGTGAAAAATAATTCTCACATAACCCACACTGTGGGAACTCCTTTAAAACCCTAAATACACGGCTCGCGTCATTTCTACGGACAACAATGTAACATCATCACAAGACACTAATCAACAAATCTTGAATATTTCTCTTACATGACATAATCAGCTTATCATATGATCTTTGGTCACATGAATCTAAGCCTCATAATCCTAACAGTCAGGTGACTTATGACTTAACACTAAATTATGACAAAGCATTATCTTGAAATAACTAAAAAGATGGATGACAGTTGTAATACACATGGCTTATGTAAATAGTTACTGGTATAGTCTGAATAAGCCCATTTCTCTTAAAGAATGTGGGAAATAGTAACACAGCCACCACAATTTGTCTATATAAGACCCCAATTTTTGCTAATAAAAAAGAGAGGCCCCCACTTTTGCAAGATAAATTGAGTGTGAAGTGTGATCAGTGCCAACCACAGTGGCAAGAGCTGTTAAGCATCTAAGTGAGAGGTCATTGTGAGCAACAGCCAGCAATACCTTTAGCTCACTGTGCTCAACAGTGAGCAAACTTTTTTCTTTGATTTTGTGCTGGTGAACCTCTAGTTTTTTCTTTTTCTTTTTTCTCTTTCTTTTTCCTCTTCTGTTTCTGTTTCCTTTTATTTTATTCTCTTTTTCATTTGTCTCTTTTTCTTTTCAGTTCATTCATGTATTAGTGTTATTGTTTTGAATTTGTTCCAGGATCTTCGTGTTGTCTTTACGTCCATCTAGGCAAAGGCTTAGTGGGAAGACTTCAGGAGTTGATAGTGACGCTTGACCTCACTCATCTGAGTAGCGATACTGAGCCAGGGTTTTCTTTGTCTGCTAGACTTTAGTTGTTGAATAGGGGACTTGGTACTGAAAGCCAAGGACGTCCGTTCCTGATTCTGTTTAATACTCATCGTGAGTTCCTTGGCAGCAGGTTCAATAGTAAACTAAGAGTTCTACTGAACATTTGACTAGTCCTGACCTTTGATTCTACCTGTTTGTGCTGAGGGGGTGATTGTTATAACTTCACACGACTTTCTGTAGTAAGTTTATTATGAGAAGCATTGTTACTGAAGGAAGGGTTTCTCTTATCATTCTATTTCTTTTTTTTCAGCATCATACTGTTGGGCTGATTTTTCTCTGGTCGCTGCCATATTGTTGGAGTGATTTTATTCTGTCTATTTTTTATTGCATCCATACTGTTGGATTGACTGCATACTGTTGCTAACCTCGTGGAAGTATTTGTGTCTGAATATAGCTTGGGGAAGTGTAAACAGCCACCCACGAACAACCACGTTATCAGTCATTGGTATTTGTCTGAATCACTGACTGTGGAGATATTTGGTTTTATAGGTATTTATCTATAGATCATCTATCTAAGAAGACAGCGCTAGTCGGGTGAGATCATCTAGAAAGGGCAAGAAACCCTGCAGCACGTCAGGGCGATCCCAAACGGTGACATGCTGTGTATCCATAGCCATCAGGTGAAGAGAAGGATTGTAAGTGTTCTGATAGTCCTTGTTCAGCTTTTCTTGAAGGTGACTAGTGCGTAATTGCCTCACCTTGATTTTGAAACCAGAAATGAAGTTGGTTCTACTCAGGCCAACACAAACGACACTCCAAAGGAGTTTTGTGTCTGGAAAGCCTAAAGCAGATTGTTCAATATGAACATGAGCATACAGTTGGCTCCTACCACGCTGCCATGACAATCACAGAGCGAAAGCCGGTGACCTCAGGACTGTGATCGGCATTATCTGCAAAAGTACTACGGCCACTGAGTTCCATTGGTGAACCTGAGATGTGCGCAAGGAGTATCAAAGCCTGAACGAGGAAGAGAGAGATGCTGGAAATGACAGTGTTGTTCTAGGTAATGATAGAATGAAGTGGCAGCTCCTTGGAACTCGACCAGAGAAATACAAATTTCGTTGAGCTCAACTGCAAAACCTCGTCATGAAAAACTTCAAGGATTGAAGCCAAAAGCAAATGGCCAAACGGTGAATGAATGTGACGGAGAGCCTGAGCTTCAAGTTTCCAACAAATGTGTCAATAAAACAACTTGAAGAGCATCATGATAGCTTGAGCATTTACCTCAGACAAGTAGAACAAGAGTGCTAGGCGAGTGATAGGGATTAAAAGCACTGTGTCTCCCTATAAGATACTACAGGTGATAGGCCTGGTGGGTACTATGATAATCTGTTCAGGCTGCGGCAGTTGCAGGATCTAAGTTTGAAAAAATTGAGACTCAGAGCTGCGCCAAATGGTGCAAATTTTGAGTGGGAAAGCAGTCGGTGGATTGAGAAGAAATAACTGTCATATGTATCAGGAGACGCGAATCAGCAGCATATGGTAAGGTTCATCATACTGTCTGAGATCTGAGACAGTCTAAAAGTCAACTTCAAAACGGTGTGGGAAAATAGCGCTCACAGTGCCCGGTAAATGCGGACCGCTTCTGGTGAGAGCATTCAACATCATCATGATGAAGCACAAAGTTCAAGTTCAACTTGCTCCAGTACTGCTCACCTAACAAGCCTTTGACAACTCTGCTGAGCTTGACGTAAATTGCACCTGCCGCAGCATTTGATAGTGTCTGAGGACCAGTGTCGACTCCGTGACATACTAGTATGATCATGACCGTCGTCCCTCCTACCTCACTTAATACATTCTTTCACCCCTCCAAACCATTCCCTGATGTTTCTACTTCCTGTATTATTCTTAGTCATACTTGCAGCCATGCCTTGTCATGTAGCCCAGATTTTGTGAAACTGGTTCAACCATGATCAACCCTGTGTGACCTACTAGTATGTCCTGTGCGCCAGTCAATCGCTGCCAGTGAGTACGCCATGTCAGTGGCTGCTAACATCAAGTCAGCTCTGGGCGTACCCAATCCATCTCGCTTGTCATGCATCACATCATGATGTCCTCCAGCCGCTAGAGCCCATTTGGCAGGTAAGCAAGGTCTGTTCAGTCACAGTGACCTCAGAAGTCCAGAACAATTTCAAGATATAGAGCTTATCATTATTGAATTTAAATAGGGTGCTGCAAGGTTCAGACCGGCAAAGATAATATGTAATCTGTACTGCCAACTCATGCTAGGCAGGTATAAATGTCCTCAAGGCGTTCAATGCACTGGCAGTATGGTGTTCATCTTAACAGTTCATTTAGATCACTGTTACCACCTGGACCTTGAGGCCTTCCAAGCCATTCTAGCTGCATTCGAGTTGGAGCCATGCCTCCAGGTAAGTTTTTCCAGATAATTTTATACCAGATGATCAACCTGCACCACTTCAACTAGAGCGCGTCCACCTTCAACAAGGTTATGGCTCTGATATGCCCTTTATCAAAATCGCACCTTTGAAAGCGTTGGGTCAATTGAAGACTCAGAGGAAGAAGAGACAAGAATACAGTAAGGGCGCCTACATGAGCAACTCAGACGACACTAGCTCTTTTCTTCATTACAAGCCACCCACACTGCCCCCAAACTCCGCCCAACCGTCCTTTCTGCCGCAACTATCCTACTCACTACCAAAACTTCCCCAATTACCACCACCACCACCACCTCCAGCATCGCCATTGCCACCTCCCAAATTGCCATTGCCACCTCCATTGGTTTACTTCGTCAGTTACTTTGTGCGCCCACAAGCGTCTTTACCCCCTAACCATCTTATTCTTACCGCACCGCTATGAACTCCCCCATTCCTCGTTACCCCGCGACCAGGGTGACTTCACCCGGTGTTGCAGCCGCCGCGTTCGCTGCCACGAACAGTGCGGATCCCGGCAAGGAAAGGGCCTCGGCCCTGTCCTTCGTCGATTCTGTTTCGGAGGTCATTATGACCATCGAACAGGAATATCGGGAATTGCTTCGTATGAAGCTTAACACCCTTGCCGACGACGCTCGCCGCGCCGTCACTCTGGACTCCTCTCTGAGGAAGTTGCTAGAGCATGAGGCCAAGGGGACATTCCCACCCTTCATCGAAGGGACCAAGGAACCTAAGCTCCAGGCGAGCAAAGAGTTCCTTGCTGCGCAAGGCGAACAACTGGCAGCCATTAAAACCGGCCTAAAGGACTTCAAACGAGGCGCCCTCACTACAGCGATAACGCTGAAGAGAAATGAGGTGCAATCCGTGCGCTCTCGGCTGGCACCCGAGGTCTTCGTCCCTCCTTTAATGGAGATCGTCAAGGCCAGGTACGCGCAGGTCAAAGACCATGTGCGCAAACCGGTCTGGGCCGAGGCGGGGGAAGGTGAGAATCCAGTCGACGGTGACGTTGACATGGACACCGAACCCGGTCAACTAAAAATAGTTGACTGGCGTGAGTCCCCCCGGACAAGAGAGGTGTCAAGGCGCCTCATTTTAGACTTGCCGGCTATCGGCATGCGAATCATTATGATCGCACAAGCTGCCGAAGATCGGACAGCCGCTACTCACGCGGCTAAAAAAGTCTTGAAAGCCAAGGCTGATGTGGAGATGGGCGACGCAACCCCGGTTGCCGGTCCCTCCTCCAATAAGAGTATGAAAACTCTTATCGACAAGGCTGTCGCGTCGGCCCTTAAGAACGCTTCTGGCCCCTCTTCCAAGGGGCCGGTCAAGAAGGTGAGGTCAGGATTCGTCCGCTCACCATCTAAACTGACCCAACTCCATCTAGAACGCCGCCAAGTCCAAGGGCGGCAAAGGCAAGGAGAAGAAGGACAAACCCAAGGCCGAAGCCGCTGCCCAGAACGCCGGCAAGAAGAAGACCAAGGGGAAGCCGTCCGAAAAGGGAAAGAAGCATGGCAACAAGAAGTAGAGACCTGGCTCCTCACGCAACCTATCAGGTACGATCACCCCTCATCTTGGCCTGATCTCATCTTAGAATTAAACCCTGATAGCGCTGTTCGGATACTTCATACTTTCGTCCCTCTTAACGTACTAGAGGCTAGTAGATACCGATCGTATGTTCATGTAGGACCTGGTGTCCAAATAGATGAAATCTCTTCTTCGATTCTTCGTGAATTAAGTCTCTCATATAAATATATGTTCCCCATGCAACAAAATGTTAAGTTAATGTTAGATGCGTACAACGACTTCGCCGATAGGCTAAGATGGAAACTCCGCTTTATTTATAAAGCTTTCCAAGGGAACTTTGAAGAGCGACCCTTTGACCCAGATTATCGGATCATAAAGGACCGTGTGCCCTGTGACCCGATACCTTACCAAGGAATAGAAGCCGCCATTAGTGCCGGTCGCGACTATGTCAGGAATTGTACCCTGAGCGCTATACCGCCTAAAATCAACGAACTCGAAACCACAGTTCCACGAGGCCGCATCTACCGTTGGTTGACAGAAAACAATTGCTTGGTTCTGCCAATGGATAAAAATCTAGGCGCTTGCGTCGTAACGGTTAACTGGTATAAGGATCAATGTATGCAACTATTAAGTAATAGACTAGACTATGAAATAATTGACGACGCAACTCATCTAGCCATACTATCGAGACAACGAATTTCCATACTCGCTTTAAGCGACTTGGCGGCAAATGCTCTAGGGCACCAGCAGCTAAGTGCGTTCTTACAACAATTCATTGTTGGGGTGGAGGAAGGCGAAACCGAGGATGACGCTCATATGCGTGTTAAACTTCCAAAGTTTTACGGTATTCCAAAAATACATAAGGTACCGACCAAATTTAGGCTGATCGTACCTTGCCATTCTGCTATGCAGAACCCCGCTGCTAAATTCGTCTCAAAATACCTCAAACCCTTAATAGAAGCGTCTCCATACGTTCTAGGCGGGTCGAAGCAACTTGCTGTGCTTCTTAATCAATTTAACGAGGTATCAGGCAAACGTAAATTCTATATTGTTACCGGCGACGTTGTCGCTTTTTACCCCAATGTCCCCGTAGACAAAGGTATCGAGGTGGTTTTAGATATATGGGACGAGCATTACGCTCTTGATCCCGAACCTATTCCGCGCCATATGCTCGAACTTGCATTAGAAGTTGCCTTAAATAACCTTATCGTCCAATTTGGCGAACAAACGTACAAACAAACCCGTGGCTTAGCCATGGGTGTAGCGTGCTCACCCGATGTTGCTAATCTATTCGGGCATTTCCATGAAGCGCTTATTGTACCAAATCTAAACAAATTACTGTTCTATAAACGGTATATAGATGACGTGTTCGCATTAGTCGAAGCTAATTCAGAAATAGAAGCATATAATTACATGCGCGACAATCTTATTTTAGAAGGCTGCCAAATTGGGTGGGAAGTCTCCCAGCATCATGCTGTATTTTTAGACATGTTCGTGTTCCGTGATCCGTTCACTAACAACGTAGAACACATGCCTTATCGTAAAAGACTAAACCACTTCGAACGAATCCCATGGGACTCGGCACACCCGTATGACGTGAAGAAAGGCACATTCATCGGCGAGCTAAGTCGTCTAGCCACTTTGTCCAGTAAAATAGAATACTACCGGACCGCGATCTCAGATCTATGCTGTGTTTACATATCGCGAGGCTATCCTTCATCGGTTATTAATAACTGGTTCAGACAGTACGCTACCAAAAAATGGGAAGCACGTCTATTGACAAGAGCGGTATCAGAGGATCCCATTCTTGTAGTCAAAACCGAATTTAATACCGCATGGGATTGGTTCAGCATTAAAAGCTTAGAGGATACCATTATGCATAAGCTTAATCGTTATAGGAACGATTTCGTGTCCGGTGTGTATGGGACGCAAAACACACCGGTGTACCAAGACCGTCTGACCGAATGGCTCGTGCCCGCTCACGCTCCTGCTGAAGACGTTCTCGAGCATCTGGGACTCCCACGGGAGGCCCTTTTGGTTAGAGACGTTGACGTAGTAGGCGGCGTTAAAGCCGAGTCGGCCGGTATTTTAGATCTTGGCAATTATGTAATGGGAAATGCATGGTGGCTTGTGTCACGCAAAAGAACACAGAATTTTGCTGACCTCGCATCACTTTGGAGAAGTTCCCTCCTCAATATAGCATTAGAACAGGACGACTTTGTTCCTCCTGTAGAATTATAGATATACACTTAGCGTGCGCACCACAGTTATTCCCTAGTGGGTTCAACGGCGCAGGTAACGCAACCATACGAACGAGGGTGAAGCTTAGTTCGGAGTCCTTTCCGGTTGGTATTTGGCCTGCGGGCTGGGTACCCCCTGTTTTCAGGGAGAGAACTGGGGAGCTCAGTGGTGAATTGACATCGGCCTCATGGGAGCTTCGCTCCGGGGTTCAGTCATGCGCGTATGTTTACGCAACCTGCTTGCTGACGAGCCAGGGTTCGGGAAACCTTACCTTGGTACTGCGAAAGGTTAACGCCAGAAAAGCGGCGCGGGTAGAAATCTATTCTTATTCTTATCTAATTTTAATGTTCGGACACTATTTATGTTGTCTTTATACGTATGCGGTCATTTTTACGAAATGTCGCTAGGAGCCAGAGATGGCTGTACGGAAACTGATCGGTTTCTCCGTACATGGCTTTTTCAAGGAAGCCCCCTAAGCCTAACTAACTTAACCTAACTTCCTAAGCCCTAACCTAACTAGCCTAACCGCACCTGCCTAACTAACAGGTTCTCAATTACGTAACATTATTAATAGTTTCTGATTCGTAATAAGGTCCAAGGTGACAAGTGTCACGTGACCGGATGTCATTCCGATGTATTTTAAAATGTTCTGGAACTTCTATTACGTAATCAGTCTAGACCTTCGGTCCAGACTCGGATCAAACTATTATTGCTTCTTTCTCATTTATAGATTGTGTACGCCTGTTTACCTTTTTATAGAGTTTGACACTTGTGAGAGATTTTTAAAGGGGGCCTTCGGCCCCCTGCTGCGGCACTAAAAATACTTTTAAAGCTTATTAACATTGATAACACATTTAGACTTGATTACTCTACCGGTTCTTCTTTGAACCTTCGTACTCAGACATAATCTCCTCTCGATTTTATGTGTCCATCCCTATTTAAACCAGCTAGAAAACTGATGAGAGTATCATACTCGAAATACCGCCTCAGACTACCTAGTAGCCGGGGGTATATTTTCTAGTTTACTTCGTCAGTTACTTTGTGCGCCCACAAGCGTCTTTACCCCCCGTCCTTTCTGCCGCAACTATCCTACTCACTACCAAAACTTCCCCAATTACCACCACCACCACCACCTCCAGCATCGCCATTGCCACCTCCCAAATTGCCATTGCCACCTCCATTGCCACTTTCATTGCCACCTTCATCACCAACTCCCGAATTGCCATCGACACCTTCATCGCCACCTATGTCTCTTGAAGTTCTGCCAATGCCTATATCACTCCCAGAATCTCTCGAAGTCCTGCTCGCACCATCATCCATGCCACCATCTCCAGTCATGCATACCGTGACTGCCTCAGCCTTGGTGTCTGTGTCAGACGCAAGTCACCATGACTATGGTCAAGTCATCCATAACATAGAGTTGGAGGATGAGTCAGTAGTAAAGGAGGGACTTGAAGTTGATGCAAAGTGGGACATCACCCACGAGCACCTTTGGGCCAATTGGACTAGTTGCCTAGATGATTAGCTGCTCATTCACTACAGCTACTAGTACTGCATCTGAGAGTCATGGAAAGCTAGGGAACATGCTAGTTACACCGGACTCTTCTCGGAGCTTTCACTGATGATGTTCAAAAGCTTTGACACGTCCAAATTAGGGAAGTCTATCTTGGTTTCATTGGCTGTGATTTAGTCATGTGACCGCTTGTGAGGTAAATATGTGAATGCGCTTACTTCACGTGATTGTAACTGAGTGTGACACTGCACAGTGCAAATACGCCAGTAGTTGCTGATATGACAAATGTTATACCCCATTTCTTTAATTCTAATTGACAGAAAATGTACTGCCAATGTAACTGAGTAGCCTCCTGACCAATAGATTTGTCTTAGTCCATGCTGGTTCATGCTGGTCACGTGATTAACATAGAATTGCTACCGGCATTTGCCAATTTCTGAACGATCGATATCATTTGGTTATCTCTTCCGTAGCTTCCACACCTGACCTCACCGCGCCACACCCAAACCAAATGCGCAGCATTCATCCCTTAGCATCTCATATCATGCCTATTGCAGTTGCTCGAGCTGACAAGACCTCTTATTATAGCTCTTTTGGTACAAAGTCGTCCCAGCGCTACAAGACCAGTACCATATCAAAGGCAACACCTGTGCTCACTGAATGGGAACCCAAGCCCAATTCAATCAAACCAGCACCTGTACTTTTACCCCCATCTATGAAAAATGGGGCTCGTAACATTACATGCATCAGAAGACCCCTACCCTTGGAGGAGGGCAAACAAGATAAAAATCCAGTCGAAGATATTCCTGACAATAGCGCGCGCCCATTGTGTGATGATGTTCTTCGCCAGTCCTTCCATCCTGACCTCCTTACCCCAAGTATGTTCCATGATAAGTGAGGTGCTTGGGATTATGTTCTGATTAGATTGAAGCTGCAAGGGAAGTCTTGAAATATTTAATTCTACCATCTCATAGTCAAAGCCTCATGGTAAGTTGTCCAGTAAGCCCGGCGCTAATGTGCTTACCAAATACGATAGGAATTTCCCGGCATAGGACTGCGAGAATTCAAATTGATCGAACATGCGGTAGGGGAGATGGGCCGAATCTCGAGGAAACCCAGGTGAGTTGAACAATTTATCTGTTTTGAGTAATGCTAAATCGGATAGGCTTTCTTATGACTACAACAAACACCTACTCATTGTCGACATGCCCAGTATCCTCCATGAGAGGTTCTTTGATCATTTGAAGGACACCATGGCTGCCTACTTTCTCTTCCTACCCTATGATTGCGAGCTCGTCTCCCCATTCCTCTCTATGAACTATCCGCTGAAGCTGAGAGATCAATTAGTCATGCCTGATTTGACCATGACCATCACTGCGGTGGAGAACACTCCAAAAGTAGTCCTCATTCCATGCATAGGTGAATGTGCCATGTCTGAGGACAGGGCACACGTCTTCACCAAAGTGGAGGATGAAATCATTGCGCATCCAGAAGCTGTATTAGCAATCATAGTCATTATCCACGAAGCAATCAACTACCAGGGTCCCAAAGACATCTCAACCACATCAATTTCACTTCATAACGGTCACGACAACCCCGAACCACTTCCTCTCGCCAATTTTCTTAACTTATGTTCTATGCCACGAGGGTTCAACCAGCCAATCAGGATCACTGATCACGACTGGGCTCATTTGGCTTCTGTAGAATATTTCGTGTGGGTGAAAGGTGACAACCAGGCTCAAATCGACGTGCATAACACTAATCCGCAGTTCATGGCCCACGGCATAAGTCACCGCGATCATCATTGTGGTTTCGAATCCAACTGACAAAACATTATGCAGACGTTGGGGTCTGTCTTGCAGATGGACGACATAAGTGCTATGCTTCAAAGGGGGATGGATAAGGTTAGGGATATAATGGCCCGTTTCTCGAGAACTCTCGATATTGCTGGGGTGTTACGACGCTAAGTCGTGTTCGTACTTGGATGGGCTAAACAGCAAAGGCCGAGAAGACGGCTTTCAGGATGCTGAGTTCTGTCGGCTTCCACAGAAGAGCAGAAGTTGCGTACGCCTTGTGGGGCGATGATAGCGGTTACAGACGGAAGGTTCGTGGTCGTTGAGACAAGCTTCCGAAGGTACGAGTTCGATGTCGAGCAAGGTAGCTTTATGAAGGACAAGGAAGTTCAAGAGAAAACCAAGTAAGATTAAAGTAAGGAACATCTACTTTAATCGTCGACCTTATATAAGGCTACTCTATCGTGTCTAAGCTCAGCTTGAAGCTGGGTTCTAATCTGCTTATCTATCGAGTCAGAGATAGCGTCCATGAGGCAGGCTTCTATCAGTACACGAGGCAACACGAGGCTTGCCTTCTATCTTGATAACAGGAATAGGTCTTCTAGACCTATGTCGTCATAGCGGTCCAGACCGCTTATCTAATCCGGCATCTTCCGGAGTTCTCTTCTATATCGGTCCGGTGTTCTATCCTGTGTTCTATCCCTAGGGCAGGAGAGGCCCGGGTATCGTCTGTAGCCGTGCAGGTGGCAGAGGGCAGGGTGGCAAGGGGACTCATGTAACGTTGTTGTAACATGGGGATTTCTCCACGTTGGAAGAAGCTGAGGTTAGGTTACCCCTGAACTGGAGCCTTAGCACAAAGTTTGCCCTCACTGCAGCTGATCTTACTGCTCATGAGTGATATGAATCCTGGCATGACGTGCAATTCAAAGGTGTCAAACTCACGAAGCAGAACCACGATCCACCTTATTGTCCTTCGGAGTCAGATCATGATGGTGGTTCATCGGAGTCGGCTACTCCTCCTCCTCGTACATGTCTCCGCAAGCGCGTGAGCACTTCCCAGCCTCCCCCACGCAAATCAAGGAAAACTAAGGGAAAGGCTTGGAAAACTGATGTATGACTCGGAAGTTAGCACATTGATTGGCATCATTCCAGCGGATTGTTGAGAACACCGGGCATAGTTGAAATTTTCATGTGTACTTACTATTATGTTTCTCGCTTTGTTGTTACGTGGTATTCCGTTGCATTTGCAGATACCATTGATTACTAGTTGTACTACTACTGGCTCACTTTCAAGTTAGATTACCGCATGCAACGAACTGTAACTTTACGAATGAAGAATGAGCATCAGCTTTACATACGTCTTAAGTCTGACGGCTGCATCCGTTTTTCATTTAAATATTATCATAGCGGGAGGTTCATTTTCTTCAAAGACAGACCCGCTAATAAAATCATGAGTTGCCCTATTAATCACCTGACTGTTGAACGTTGAACGTTGAACTGTGACCTGTTGCTGGAATCTACACTTCGGAAGAGACCGAGTTGACGAGCGAGTGAACTGACTGAGAGAAATTAATAGCAATATAAAATTTAGTAAGATAGGACTCTGTGGGAACGACTTTGAATTTGAGTTGGCGGAAATCTGAGTAGAGGACCTGTTCAACCTCATGCCACTCACCCATTGCTATCATTGCTATCATTGCCTAATCTGACAAAGCTCAGTCTCAAGACAACTGAGATTATTTGGAACCGAGCCAGAAGCTGGTAATTAATAGTCGTCTGATATGATTACTTGTTGATGTCCTTTTGATGTGTTATCTGGTGTGCGTGTGGTGTACACATGACATATTTGTATGCTGTCTGAACTCTATTTTGAGCCACTGTACCTCATTAGATAATTTAGTAATTACCGTTTGGCTCACGCCCTAGCACTGCATCCGCAGAGGAGAAGTGTTCTGCCAGTCAGTGCACGTTCCATCATTAAAGTTGAGCTGGGAACTTTCCCATGGATGCAAGTGAACTGAACGTGTTCAGTTCCAGAAGTCCTGCCTGCAGTATTCTGCCGGTCAGTGCACATTCATCAAAGGAAGGTGCCCTGTTACTGTTCCGATGTAGATCGGCTCCCAGAAGCTTCAAGGTGATGTTCTTTAGCATCTCCAGTCAGTGTACATGAATCCAGACGTACTAATTTCCAGGTATTATCCAGGCCACAAATCTTATATACCCCAGCAACTTCTCCCAAAGTATTCCTAAGCCGAGTAAATCTTAGTAAGTCTCTCAGTTGCGGTCTTATCTTTCATATTGTCATCCCCTCATTAGATATGTGGTAGGCAGGTTTCCTCAAGGCTTGTTGTTCTCGAGTTGCTGATCCCGTTTTGCTCGATGATCACAAGTGTTCAGTCTCACCGGACTCTGAGGATGCTGAAGATGGGCTTGAAGAGCTTTGTCGGTGAAATTGACCTACCTGAAAGTGAGTGGCTTAATTTATCTTCAACTTAACAGCATCTTAACAATTCAACAGCTGGACCAACCGTTTTAATGACAATGAACCTCGTCCTGCCTCAGTATGTACCCTCGGATAAACCTTTTGTAGGTTATCTGAGGATCAAGTGTGCGACACATTTTTTATGGTATCTATTTACTACAATGTGTACTGACAACTGGTTTTGTTTTTTACAGGCCGTTCGTCTCCACTGTTCAATTCAACGGAGCTGACTTGAGGCGTAGCGACCTTTTTGGAAATTTTAAGTTTGACGGTACCTATTCTTTTATGGATGTTTTAGAAGCTAACCGTTGCAAACAACTCTATCCGAAGAGCCGGAATGGACTCCAGAGCAGAATCCAAACTCACAAATAAAGTTACCCTGATATTCTTGCAGCTCACTGAATCTACGCAATTGCTCCGTTTGTACCTCAGGTAAATTCACTTGAGTTCATATTTTACGAGTTTCTGATGAGCCTTGTTTCGTTGATCAGAGATATTGGAGTGACACATCATTGGTATCATCGTGAGTGCCCAGTGTTCACCATAAATCATTGTTTTTGATTCACCTTCAAGTATTCTGTGTCATACGTAGCTCAAGCCCTCACAGCCATTCAATGGAACCAACTTTCTTATCATGTTGGCCAAAAGCCAGTGGTTTTGACTTGTCTATTGTTATATCGGCCTATTTGAGCTTCCAAAGACCTTCGGGGGCTTGATACTGAGGTTCGTGCGTCATACTCTGATTGAAAGTTTTTTCAATTGTTTAGTCGTGTATTGTGCGGAGCGCTGGATGGCAACAGCGGTCGTGGATGACCGGAAATACGGTTGCCAAGTGGGGTCCCACCTGTTTTGTGCACCCCGTTCTTACATGCTTCGCTGCGTCAATACGGTGAGTCAAATAGAACCTACTTTCACTTAATTTGATTGATGTATACTAGAATACAAACTCGAACTATTGACAATGGGCTGGTATGTTAGGTAGTTGTTTGATCGTCGAGAGTAGTTGACACCGTTGGCAGATGTCTTTAGTCAATCACTAGTTCTTTGGCCATTTCGACCTGTCGGCCGCTACGATCGTTGGTGTCATATGACCCTTCTTCAAGTCAATTGAGCATCTGGGCACACTAGTACGTTATGTACTACATTTTGAGAGGCAAACTCGCTTAGGCACAAATTGTAGTTGCACTCCCCATCATATCCACATTAGGCATTGCCCTATAAGTTTCAGCGTTTAGCGAGTGGGTATATAATGGTCTAAGTAAGTTTTCCAAGTCTCCCAGTTCCCTCCATATTCTTTTTTGTTACATTCACCATTGCTCACTTGTTGCTCTTTATTCTTCACTTCACACACATTGACCTCCCTCACATCTACCATGTCTGCATCAGGGGCTGACAATCAGGTTGGGTCACAAGCCCTCTCACTTCCAGACCTTTCTGGGGTAGTCCCTACCTCTACAGAAGCAAGAGTGAATCGTCGCATTGCTGCATTGGAAGAGGAGCTGGAAAACATGAGGCAAGAGAGAGGAATCAAGCAGAGATTTGATATGTACCACTTTGCTCGCTCCGCACTTGTTGCTTACCTATCCTAAAAGAAAGACGACTTACTGTGTTGCTCAAGGTAGAGCAATTTGTCGGATGGTCGTGCTCTATACCAGCTTGGAAGACTTGGTTGCCGAGAACGATTGCAGATACGAGGAGGGGAGCCCAGAGGATAATACCACGGAGTACGCCATTTGCATTTCTGTTTTATACTTAATAGCTCATTTCTATTGTTCAGACAAGATCGCCTGCAGCATGGTTACATTGTACTCATGCAGGTTCTGCCATGGCTACATGCAAAACTTGGACAACTTGATATCGACGAATGTCAAGATATGCTGAAACAAGTCTGTATTCTCAGTCCCAAAGCTTTTTGCCCTGCATACTGATGACACTAGCTCAAAAGAGGAGCAGATGCGGCCCATGGAGACGATACATCCACTCTCAAAGACCTCGTCGCTTCCTGGGTTAATCAAGACTTTTGACCATCTTCTCTACTGAAGTCGGATAACAAGCAGATGCGCAGCTTTGTACACGACATTTGTGGGAACTTACTCTGCCCTTCGGAGTGGGACTGGGGTGATAACACATGAGTGTCGGCCTTCGTCAGCTATTAGATGACCCTGATGATTTGACAGGGTGAAAGCTGGGATTCGTGACAGAACGGTAGACTACATCGTATCGGAAAACTTTTGGCCACTATTCTTATATGAGAAATACATGGTCAACTATGGCAACCTCGAGCAAGGCCTCTTCAAGTCCAAGATTCTGGTTCAAGTCAGTCGCCTGGGCATAGTGGTGACCATACTGATGATTACCGGGTTAGGCTTTCAAAGCTATATTCACATCACCCTCTTCCGCAAGAGAGGCTGACGGTGATGGTGACAGAGCTGACATCCTCGAAAACAACAGGCGTGCCCAGCGACAATTAAATCAGGCCAAGGTTAAAACTTGTGTGGCCTCCATTATCAACATGAGGAAGGTCACTCCTCGCTCCATCGCCTACGTTGTGTGCCAAGTAAGTAGAGATCGTTACCCACCGTCCAAACCTGACATGCAATACTTTATGGCAGGTTCGTTTCGCGCTGTCCAACATCTTGTCTTGGCGCACCATTGATGGTGACTTCAACTATGAAGGATTCTGGAACAATGTGGTAGACTTTTTCGAAGATGTCCCAGGACCCATCACACAACGTAGGGTGAACCTACTTCTCGAATGGTGGACCAGGTATATTCTGCCTTGAGGCATACATAAGAGATATCTGACATTATTATTTAGGAAGGTTTTTGGAAACAACCATCGTCAGGACCTAACACCAGAAGTCATATCTCATATGTCTGTTACCACACTCGCCCAACAGAGAAAGGAGCTGGAGGATGCTATTTTCGACTCGGAATAAGTCGATCTTCGTTTTATCTTCCGCCATCGTAGTATACACCTTGTACAATAATAATGCAATTATAATGTCACATTCCACCGCTCGAACTATTGACTGAGAATTGTTCAGCATGCCATCTACTATCAAACTTGCTCTTCATTCCAATCCAGCCAAATTATAGGGACCATACTATGTAACCGACTGTATCTATGATGGTGACAACTAACATGCAAAGTTCGACTAGTAAAAAAACCCTGGTGGATGAAATCATCTGCAATCTCCAAGTCGACAGCATCAGTTGACAGTTCCAAACTGTCAGGGCACATTGGTTCCGTCATGGAGCTGTAGCGGACATAGGAAATCCATGGGAGGACTTGGTTGGCTGGCTTGGAAATTCATCGTTCCTATGTAAGGTCAAACATCTCTATGTAACTCTCACCGCCACCTTTATGGAGATTGTTGTGATTTTTAACTATATATAGTCAATTATGGTATTATAATATGTTCATCGATTCACTGATGATTGGCCATCTACTAATTAGTTTCTATGTATGCGAAAATGAAATTGAAAAAGAGGGAGTCCTGGCATCATGATCGTTTGTGTTATCCCATTCAAGGAGAGACAAGACCTCGAGTTGTAGTGAATCGGAAGCCGGGCTAGATTATGGGTGAGATTGAGATACAAAACCCCGGGAACGACTTAGTTGCCGGGTCTCGTTTTGTAATTCTTCGATCAGTGAAACCATGACGGACCAGTGGCCTTCAATTCGGCACAGGCTATACCTCAAATCTCATCCTCACTGTAAAAATGAGGCTATGGGTGGATTCTGCGAGTAGCTTCTATCTGTTCACTGCATTGGCACTGCACAATGTGGATGCCATGTGCATGTTGTGGTTCCCTCCATTATAATCCTTCAGGACGTTACAGGTGCTGTAGTATTTGTTTCGTGACCTCCTTACTCTCAAGTGTTAGTTAGAATCCATCCCTCGTCATATGTCAATGTTTGTCCCTGGCCATTTCAATGACTGCCATCCACCCTTGGGAGAAAGCCCGATCGACCCAGAACGCCCTCAGGACATATGACAGATAAATCTTCAAACGTTCCAAGTTGCCGTCGATAGTATGTCTCACATTGATCTTCATTCAGCACGTATCGATGACTTCCCAAAGCAATTCTGGCGACACTGTATTTCCTCATTAATCTCCTGTTTGTTTTCGCGACAGACTCCGTGCCAGACCGGCTCGATGATACCCTCCAAGTCTCAGGTGAGGAGCCAGGCCAACCAGAAAAACCCCAGGATCCGGGAAAGACAAACCTCGTGTTCAGTGAAATGCCACAAGTCGCCATCAACAGTATGTGCCATCTACCTTCACTTAACACGTGGTACCCATGGTTTGCCATCACAGATTCAGTGTCGGACACACTCGATGATACACACCCAGGATTCAGGAGAGATGCACCTCCGTGGAGTGCAACAAGTCGTCATCACTGGTATGCAATGTCTATCTCCGCTCGGCTCATATTGATGATTCACCCCAAGCCATACGCGCAACTGATCTCATTCTTGGTCTCCGACGGATCCCCGCTGGCTTCCATGCCGTAGTCAAGGCTGACGGCGCTGAATGCCAGACAAGCAATAAATCTGTAAACGTAGATCAGGCGGACGTCGAATGGCAAGAGCGCATTCTTCTGTAAGTCGTCCTTAACCTCGTCTGTCCTGCAGACATTGAGAATGACTCTAGTCCGTGCGATTCATCTTCTAAAGTTCGGGTCAGCGTGTATGCCTCATTCGAATTGGGTCCTATGGTCTGTCACGGAGAACTCCTCCGCACATTCGAGATCTCCGTCGGAGAATTACTGGATCGCAGCGAAAAATCGCATCGTCTTCCTACGCTAAACTTTCCTCTCTTGATACATTCGATTTCTCTCAGCTCGCTGCCCTTCAAACCCTGAAACTTGACCACAATGAACTCCGCACGCTCCCAGACTCCCTCGGCGATCTCTCCCATCTCGTACACCTTTCCAGTTGCAACAACAAACTCGTCTCTTTTCCCTCTACTATCGGAGCGTCACCCAGTTCCATCTTGCCATCGCTTTGCTTTCGCGGTTCGCGAAACGGGGATTTGAAACGGATGTCGATGTAGCTAAGGGGTTGCTGAGCGAAGTTCTCGAAGTCTGTCACGCCAACAGCCACATCTGCAGAGCAGCTTTGATCGCAATGAAAATGCGGGCTTTGCATTCTGCTGGAAGAATCGATGCAAATGAGATTGAGCAGGAGCGGGCCGCCACATCGATGGTTCCGTTATCGCTGAATCAACTTGCTGATCGAGCAGAGTGGTGCTTGCAGAGAGATGAACCCGGTGCCCTAGATGAAGTGATATCCCTTCATTATGATGCCTTGGGATTCTACAACACCGGGAATACTAGCCGAGGGAAATTGCTATCCAATCTATCTGCAATGCTGGAAATTCGTTTTGAGCGTCGAGGTAAAGACAAAGACTTAGATCAGGCCATCGCACATCAGATGGAGGCGCTGGCTTTGCGCCCGGTCGGTGACACAGATCGGTCCAAGTCATTGAACAACCTCGCGAATCAACTCTCCTCCCGCTTTGAGCACCGAGGCAATGACGAAGACTTGGATCAGGCTATCGCACTTCACGGAGAAGCGCTGGCCTTGCATCCGGTTGGTCACACAGATCGGTCTTTGTTATTAAACAACCTCGCGGATCAACTCTCTTCCCGCTTTCGGCACCGAGGCAGTGCTGGCTTTGCTCCCGGTCGCTCACACACGTCGGTCCGAGTCATTACACAACCTCGCTGGTCAACTCTCCTCCCGCTTTAAACTCTAACGCAATAGAGAAGACCTCGATGAGTCACGAGAGAACCTACTCTGTGCATTGACTCTGTTGAGGCAGCATGATCCTCGTCAATTAGTAGTCCATCAGTCGCTAGCTCATGTCGATCTATTATTCCATCGTTCAGGGCCTGACGGCACCGTTGCGGGCGACAATACAGACCATCTCGATGCTGCCATGCATCATATAAAGGCAGCAACAAATATTGTCTCTGGAGGCTTGCGGTCCCGCCTGCGGGCAAGTCTAAGTTGGGTGTATCATGCTAGTGAACATTCGCATAGCACTCAACTGGAGGCTTATGCGACTTCTATGCAACTCCTGGACGCTTACATGTCTGCGACGGCCTCTGTGTCGTCTCGTCATAATGCCATGAAAGGATTCACGCAGCCAGCGTGGCTCTGTTCTTCAAAACGACGACCGTGCAGGCTCATCGATTCCGAATATCAAGGTAGGTGATATTCCGATTTCAGCTCTTTGTCTAACTTTGGCTGCGCAGGTTCAGGATGCTTCTGCTGGTGTGAAACAAGGTGCCGATCTTCAATCTGTGGACAAGGCACTTCGGGATGCCGGTCATGCTGCAGATCAGATGAATCCACTTTGTGGACCTGCGAGATCCGTAGTGTCCGCAGGCAAAAATGCATCAGCAGCGCTAGATGATATAGACAGTATAGAGGCCACCTATCTTCAACCCTTCAGGATATTCGGCACTGATCAGGACGATCGCAGTGGTATGATCTATCTCTTCCTCTTTAGAACTAGGCTAATACCGTTCTGCAGATACATCCGTATGCAAAAATGGCATTGGGTGTGCTATCTTGCGCATCAAAAGTGCGTTTTCCTCACCGTCATTCGTATTTCCTGCTCAGTTGTTCTGCATGCAGATAATTCTTGCTCGAGCGGATCACGACGAAGCGATACTCGAACTCTACGAGAAGTTGGGTCAAGTGTATGGCTTCGTGATGCAAGACGACGCGCTTCGCCGGATTGATATCTCAGCAGACCCTAGATGCGTTTCATTCAGGATTGTTTGGAGAAGACAAACCTTTGTGAGTCTCTCCAATAAGTCGTTGGATTTGGACGTGCCTCTGACTCGACGTCCATTCATACTTCTACAGGTGAAGTAGTGGGATTCAGTGGTATGGCTTATGCGGAGGACGCAAGACTAGATATTATGATGATGAAGCGATGCCTGCCAGGGACACGCGCGGACATTCTCTCCGACATCATGGGATGGATCAACAACAGTAGAGATGATATTTCACGCGTGCTATGGCTATCCGGCCCTGCTGGAACGGGTAAATCAGCCATTGCTCACACGCGAGAGCTACGAAGTGCAAGTCATGGTCAAACATATGGGATCCCCCCTCAGCGGCACCACAAACTCATTTACCCCAATCCGGCCCTTTCATATCTCCTTCCGTGACTTCCTGACAGACCAATCACACAGCGGAGAATTTTTCATCCACGTGTAAAAGTACAACGCGACCTTGCATTCGCGTCGCTTCGAGTGATGGAACACGGACTATCCTTCAATATCTGCGATCTAAAATCATCCTATCTCCCCAATTCCGAAGATCTCGGGCTGCTAGACCGAGTTGAAAAATGTATCCCTCAACATCTATCTTATGCCTGTCGATTTTTGGCCTGTCCACGTACAAGCAACTCACTTCGATCCAGACCTCGCCAAAGAAATAAAATCACTCTTCGAGCATGAGCGAATGTTCTTCTGGCTCAAGGTGCTCAGCCTTATCAATGTGCTGAGCGGCGCAGTCACCACTCTCCCGCTTATTGCCAAGCGGTTGAAGGTGAGTACATTATTATCGAGTATTATATAACATGCTCGCTCACAATTGCAGGGTCACACTGGATATGAAGATGCCTCGTCCGCTGCAGTGGACGTGCAGAGATTTATCCAAGTCTTCGGATGCCTCATTTTGCACAGCACACCGCATCTCTATGCATCAGCGTTGCCGTTCTCGCCCTTTAACTCTCCACTATTCAAAATGTTTTCTGCACGGTTTCCCAACTCTCTTTATCTGGCATCTGGACGTGATATCAACTGGACGGCTGTTCAGACCGTGATCACAGGACACACAGATATGTCTAACTCAGTCTCGTTCTCACCAGATGGGACTCGCATTGCGAGTGGATCAGTGGATTGCACTGTGCGACTGTGGGATGCAGCAACTGGGCAACCAGTAGGCGAGCCCTTGCTGGGGCACACCAAGTCAGTTTATACTCGCCAGATGGGACACACATCGTGTCTGGCTCGGCCGATAACACTATCCGGTTGTGAGATGTAAAAACCTGGCAGTCCATTGGTCAACCCTTATTAGGACACACTTCTTCAGTTTCATCGGTCTCATTATCGCCGGATGGGACTCACATCATTTCCGGTTCAGACGATAAGACGGTCCGGCTATGGGATACAGCAACGCGGCAGCCAGTTGGTGAACCCTTACGGGGGCACACTAGTGGGGTTTACTCAGTGTCGTTCTCGCCGGATGAGACTCGCATCATTTCTAGTTCAAACGACAAGACTGTCCAGCTGTGGGAAGCGGCAACAGAGCAGCCAGTTGGTCAGCCCTTGACAGGGCACGCTTGTTCAGTCTTATTAGTCTCTGATTGCTAGCTCGTTCATCGGGTTGTGCGGACTTGGTTCTTGCTACTGCTTTGACCGAAACACAAAAGATCGCTATAAAGTGGTCTTCTTCACTATCGCGTGCGCCCTGGCTGACCGTCATCCGGAGATGAGACACGCGTTAGCGCACGCAGTCAAGAATGAAACTGCGCTCAAGACTACAGCGGATGTCGTACAGTAGTGGCGGAAGCTTCTTATGGAACCGCTAGGGTAGCATTCTGAGTCACCTGTGGGGCCCGTCGTGATCGTGATCGACGCACTGGTTGAGAGCGGGCCGGCCGAGACACGATGCAACCCTCTTCGTATTCTTTCCGGTAAACTTCAGAACTCTGGTATTCCCCGAATCACAAAGCTCCCAAAGTACTTCCTATTTAATTGTCACCACTCGCCCGCTTTGCGACATTCAGAACATGCTTGCGGGCGCTCAACACATTCGAAGGATTTCTATGGACCAGAAGCCGCGGAACGCGATATCTACGCTTACGTGTCGAAGAAGTTGGAAGGGTTTTCATATTTTGGGTACAAAGAGTTTACAGCCCTCGCCCAGAAAGTTGATGGTCTTTTCGAATGAGCACGTCTTGCTTGCGAATCCATCGAAGCCCCCCCGCCTGGCTTATCTTCGGATCAGTCGTTCGATGTCATGGTGTCTTGACAGTTTATCTTTTGCAGAAGGCTATGGAACTCGACGCTGCTCAGATCAGGCGCTATCTCGACGTCTATCGTTCTAGTTCATCTGATAAGGGGTTCAATATTGCCTCGCATGATTTCTCCCTCCCCTGGGATGGTATAAATACCATGGACGGGAACCGCCGTCTCATTGCACTTTACTCGTTTGGCGTTATCCGCTTGTCGAGTTCTCTGGGCTCAGTTCAACATGTTCCTGATGGGCGCTGGATCGGTAGTCATCAGTTTGAGCATCGTTGCAGGCCGGGCGTTATACTCTCAACTCCGAGATGTTGCGGACGACGAATGGGACGGATGGGAAAAATGGGTGGGCGACAAAGTCTTGTGATCATTCAGCGCCTCTGCTGTAGGATCTGCCCTCGGATACCTGACGCACGTTATGTTACACGAGTATTTGAACGGTGTCGTCATACACCAAACCATGCTCTTCGCAGCCGCCATCTCGTCATCATCAGTCATGATAGCTACCATCCGCCCCACGATCGCCTTGAAACCCATCAAGTCACTCCCCATCTTCCCCATTCTGCACCCCTTATGTTTCGCAGCAAACTCATTCACAGTATGAGAAGACCACATCGTGCTCTTCTTATCTTATTCATCGTGTCCTCCGTCATCACAGGTTTCACAACTTCCACCTCACGGCTGCGCTACCGCATACTAGGATTTTTTGCTCTCTTTGCTATATGCGTGCGACTCATGGCTATGAGCACCATCTCCAGGGAGGAATAACACCCATACTGCACCGTTACCTAGTTATATATTCAATATGAACAGCTGCTACACGACAAATTATTGCACTCAATGAGTCACACGCATGTGTGGTCGGTTTGAAAAGAACGGTCTTCCGGTCGTCGCCGTCGCTTGCCACGTTGACGTATATTCTACTTTTAGCACAAGTCACTCTCTATTAGCTAATCATGCCACTGGCTGAGTCCAGCAGGTAGTACTGCTGTGTTCACCTCTCTTGATGTTGTCAAACAACATGATGTTAACCTCGCCAAGCTTTTGAAGCTTCTTGAAGTCGTCGGCGGGTGCTTTGACCTGCTTTCGTTGATGTTGATTATTTGCTTTAAGTCTTCTGTTAGCATCGAGCCATCATAGTCGACGACTGGCTTTGCAGTTTTGGATGTCCTGACTCTCCGGGATAAAGGTAAGTGCTTGCCTTCGCGTCTCGCGTCTGATTTCTCAGTCAATCACACAGGTACCTGTGCACCTCGAAAGCCTGGACCCATGAACTCTCCGTCAGACGCCAATGCGAACATTTGTTTCGGCCATCCTCTCGTCGACTCCCAGCCTCCAACGTTTGGACGACAATGATAGCCTATCGAATACCAGGGCAGGTGCTTATTTCTGCTTTGTGCTCCCGTCATAGCAATCCTCACGCAGTATGTATTATAAGCTACTACATATAATTCATTCACTTTTTCGCACTTTCTACATCGCCGCAATAAGTAAACCTCTGCACCCCTCTCCAGAGAGCTGGGCTGTCGAGAAGGACGATGAGGAGGAGGCAGATGTAGGGGGCGACTCGAGCTCCGAAGAGAGCATGAAAGATGTCTTTCAATAGCTCAGGACCTAGTTCGAAACGCAAATCCCGTCGGAAAGGCAACCACCCGCGTAAATTGCCCTCTCGCAGCACCATCCGCGTCCGCGTCTGCGTTAGAATATATCGCGCGGATGGATCATATCACGTTGCCCCAATCTCGATACACTCCACCTTTGCAGAGCTCACCCCGTCACTTAACCAGAAGCTATTTGCGCACAAGGAACGTGAGACACATAAACTGTACCTCAAGGAGAGGGGACGAGGTACGTCTTACCACTACACGCTTGCATGTGTCTTCTCACTGTTGTCAGAGCGTGTATTGGCGCCTACCGAGAGGCCAGCTGCCATCGTCATTCACCCGATTGGAGCAGGCTGGATACGACCAAGCGAACAGTCTGACTTTTCTCGGTGCAGAAGACATGATTTTCCTTATGAAATACGTTTATGAAAGTCAACTCCCTGGTCCAGCAGTAAGTCGTCCAGGAAAAATATCATGATCTGACTTGACCACACGCTTTCAGGCTGAGGAACCTACATTTGATGCATTCGACCTGGTCGACCTGACAGGCTGTAGTCTACCCACCATACCCATCGTCCTCCATCAAAACGCTAGCTCGATCGTGTACCTCAATCTCTCATGTAATCCAATGGCTGAAATACCCTACAGTCCTGCACGACCCCCCGCGATCTCAAATTGTGCAGCATGGCGATGAAGAAAGTGCCTCAGAGTGTTCGGCATTTCACCAGCCTACATCGACTCGACCTATCATGTAATCGCATCGTGGACTCGGAGGATGCTGGTCTCGACCGCATACCTGAGCTCTCAAGCTTGAGACTTCAGGATAACAGGATAGAGCAACCGCCCTGGTACAAGTTGCCAGAAGAATGCAGGAACCTTGTCAACCTACACTTACTTGACTGTCGAAGAAATAACATGTACGACATTTCCATCGCCTGCTACAAACTCTCTATGCTGATCATGATTCTGTTCACGCCCTTCATCTGTCCTTTGATCCCAGTTTGTCAGTTCTGGACGCCTCCAACGACGATGTCACGTTCCTTAAATTTCCTCCTAGCTCTCCACCGCAAATATCGCACACCCTCACACTACTCGATGTTTCCTACGCTAAACTTTCCTCTCTTGATACATTCGATTTCTCTCAGCTCGCTGCCCTTCAAACCCTGAAACTTGACCACAATGAACTCCGCACGCTCCCAGACTCCCTCGGCGATCTCTCCCATCTCGTACACCTTTCCAGTTGCAACAACAAACTCGTCTCTTTTCCCTCTACTATCGGCCTTCTTCAGCGCCTAGAAAATATTGATGCTCATAACAACGGCTTGACGGAGCTACCTGTATCCCTCTGGAATCGGGCATCGTTAGTCCATATCAACGTTGCCTCCAATCCGCTTGCTAGTTGGCATGATCCTCCTGGAGATAACTTGGATGCACCGGCGCCATCTGGAATAACTCTCGAGACCCCCTCATCATCATCAGTCGGTCACACTCCAAGAAAGCACTCAAATGCTACATACACCATGTCAATACACAACGTACCTGGTCGGGCGCTCCCGCCCCTCGTTTGCTCTCTTGAACGACTGTCAATCGGAGAGAATCGTCTGAGATCCCTCCGCTCACCATTCTCAAGGAGCTCCGCACGGCGTCCTCAATTTGTCCTTCAAGAACTGCCGCCTGCCTTCCTTCGCAATCTTCAGCAGCTAGAGACACTGTACCGTAGTGGCAACCAGTTAACGAGTATCCCCACTGAAGACCTCGTGAAAATGACCAGATTGTCGGTGTTGTTTTTGAATGGGAACAAATTCCAGACGCTCCCCGCTGAACTGGGCAAAATTCCCAGGTACAACATTCACAATTTGGAGTTTGATTGGAACTGGTATGTTTTGATCGTTTGAATGTAGACAAACGGATTATATGTTTTGTCCTCAGATCCGGAAAATTCACTTTCTCTCATCCCATCCCAGCCCCGGGAACGCCGCGAGGTGATGGATTACTCCTCGCGGATAACAATATCATCGTCCTACTTGGCCAAGAAGGCGCTGTCAATTCCATTGCCCGCGGGAAATTCTCTCTAAACTTCGACAGTGAGACAGAATACAGAAACATCGGCATATGCTCGTCGATCCTTACAATGCAGTGCATCGCACAGCTGCTGCTCATACCACAGGCCACGCTCTTCGGACAGATCATGTTGTTAGCCTCGCTTGCAGTCTCCTGGGCATACACCCCATGGTTGTCATCGTTCGATAAATCAGAGATCCAGAGGAGGCTGCTGGTGGATGTAGTCCTCAAGCGGCCGCTGATGACGAAATATATGTTGGGCACGCGCACTACCATGGCGGTCTTCGTTCTACTAGCATTGAATCCACTGAACTAATTAATATGTACATATTCCCCATGTGGGGGAGTTATGATTTTTGCGACACTGATTGCCAATATCATCCGATCCGATGCATGTATTACGCGTTCGTCACCTTAAACAAAGAAAAAAATTCAGTGGTTGAGAAGCGAGTTGAATCTTTGGACGTGAATAATCGTACGCGCGGAGGCGAACCGATTTGAAAGCGGCGAAAAATGAATACAGCATTGTACTAGTGTACAAGAAGTTCACATAATTTTCATGACGCAACAATGCAGCTGTCTAGGAAGGCCACAAATGAGTCCGAGACCCTAAAAAAAATAACCCAGCCTAGCCTAGCTTTGGCGCGCTTAAACCAACCAACTAACTAAACGGAGCGACGATCTCAGTTTTTTTTTTTTGAAAAGCGAGTCTATTATGTAACAACCGACACTATCTAGCCTTACATAAACGCTTATACCTAGGCGGGGGCTCTGTGTTGATAGGTGTTGATTACGTTCGACCCGATCATTCTGTCTACGTTCAGCCTTTGGGAGATGGCGTGTGTCCATCTCGTGGTAACGTTATTCTCGGAATGTTCTATTCCTCTGATCGCTCTCTCGCACGATCTTAGTTTTAGTATGACTTGGGCAATGGGCGCTGAACCTAACCTACCGTGGCACCGACATGCATTCAAATTTCAGATCTCGCTTCAGGACGACGGCAATGTGCCAGGCCTTTTGCAGCCTCGATTCAGTCCCCCAAAATTTGCGTTTAATGTCCGTGCACACGACAGGAAGACATACATACTACGTGATAAGCTAAGTGCGTCAAAATCGGACTGTCGGATGTGCACACTGCAATGACCGACTTTAAAATCCAGAGTGCGGAGGCGCAATGGAATTGTCTTCACCACGCCCCCTTCTCCTTCCCCTCTCTAAATTTCCACAGCTGCGGCTGCTGCACGTTCTCCAGCTCGTTCATTTCAACACTACCGTTGTAACAACTCTCGCAATGGAATATCCAGACGAGGTCGATAATGTGGTCCAACTTACCCTTGATCAATTCGTCGGCCAATCACAGGATATGTTCACACACGTGCATGACGATCTTCAGTCAGAGATCGATTTTATTCGTTTCGCATTGGCAGGTAGGGTTGGGCCGGAAGCAGACGAGGAAGTCGATCAGTGCCGCATCAGCCTGAATGCCCAACAAGGCATTCCCCCTCTTCCCCCTCGCCCTGAGACCACTATCACTCGTGACATCGATTCGGTCATTGGAGTGTCAACTTCGTTGCCTTATACAACGTCATTATCGGTCTGGCCCGTCCCTCCCTTTAAAGAGACATTAACCAAGGATAATCACGTCAAGAGTCGCGCATACGATGCCGAGGTGAGACGCATCTCATCAATTCAATGGTAATAGTAACGGATCCTAACCACATTAAACCAGGGTAACGAGATCCAAGTCTCCATGCACAAAATTCCGAATATTCCCCTGGGAAAAGTGGAACAGCGACACGTCGTCTGGATTTTTTTCCCTAGACTTTACACCGCAGCGTCTGAAAACCCATCGTGGGTGGGATTGTCCCAAGAGGATTTCGCTCTTATATACGACCGTTGCATTCGTCCCATAATGACACAATATCTGCCTCAAACTAGAGACAGATGGCCCACATCTTACAATTCCGCATTAACCCATGCTAGAAGTGCTAGAGAATGTTTAGTCCTTCATAACAAATATACACACCTGTATAGATGCTTGATGCTGCAGAGATGAGCTCTTCCTCCTTATATTTTGACGTGCCTGCAATGATGTCGTTGAGTGCGTCGGGCACCATTCCCCGCATCTCAGCACCGTCAAGCTTTGTGTCATGTTCGTTATAAGCAGGATACGATGCAACAGATAAACGTACGATAGAACTGTGTGCCTGTCGGAAAGGAACTTTGTCCTAGCATCCCTCGCCCATCGTTTGAAAGCCATTCCAGGGAACCAGTCCGGTAAATACAATACTGAGATATTCAATAAGATTGTGTGTGGTCAGAAAAATATGCTTTACCTAGGGGCACAGTATCAGCAAGCCAGCGTCTGGCAGGCCGCAAAGCTTGTTGGGTGTGAACAGAAATTTCGTCCCCCAGTTTGAGTTCATGATCTTCTACTTTTGTCCCGCGTGTAAATCGAGTAATGAAAGACCAAGATACCTTGGTATTCATAGAAAGACGTCACTAAGTGACCGTGGTGTTAGATAGAATCCGCACCTTCGAATATGCTGCTTGAATAGTTCTGGAGATTGTGCCATCTCCAGCATTAAGCTGGTAGCCCCTTCTTCAAGGACCGGGCCCCAAGACCTTTGTGCCTTTGGATTGAAAGCAGCTTGAAGGAGCACCCGAGCCTTCTTCTGCCTGTCAGTATGGTCCATGAATGCGATATTGTAGTGAGAGCCACCATTGACCAAGTCGGACGGCGGGCATAAAGCGTGGACTTCGTTTCCAACAGGTCCATGGCCGCAAGGATAAGTTCACTCAGTTCTCATCACCACGACCCACTATGCAGCGCCCCTCGTTTACTCTCTTGAACGACTGTCAATTGGAGAGAACCGTCTGAGATCCCTCCGCTCACCATCCTCAAGGAGCTCCGCACGGCGTCCTCAATTTGTCCTTCAAGAACTGCCGCCTGCCTTCTTTCGCAATCTTCAGCAGCTAGAGAAACTGTACCGTAGTGGCAACCAGTTAACGAGTATCCCCACTGAAGACCTCGTGAAAATGACCAGACTGTCGGTGTTGTTTTTGAATGGGAACAAATTCCAGACGCTCCCCGCTGAACTGGGCAAAATTCCCAGTCTGACCATCATTGATGCCAGCAGTAACTTGTTAAGGTACAACATTCACAATTGGGAGTTTGATTGGAACTGGTATGTTTTGATCGTAGATGACTGGTTCGCTCACGGCGCCGGTAGGAATTTCAATTGTAACTTGAAGTACCTCAACCTATCAGGGAATAAGAAATTGGATCTTAAGCAGAACAACGGTGGAAAGCGAGTGGTGGTCTCGACTATCTCAGCTTCGTGTTTTCGGGTTGATGGATGTCATGGCCACTTTTCTTCCCAATATTCCCGAAGACTCTGATGAACGACGTGTTCGCACTTCTCAGACGGAAGTCAACTGAATGTCATATGGCATTGCCGACACCATTGGGAGGGATAGGTACCTAACCACTCTCGATCTCGTCCTGTGCCCACAGCAATTCGTATTCACAATAACCTTTTGCGACGACATCTTTGAACTCGTGGTGGTTACGTTGTCAAGACGGAAGGCGATGCATTCATGTGCTCCTTTCCGACCACCCTTGCCGCGACGTGGTGGTGCCTCATCGTGCAGCTGAAACTTCTTCGCGAACTCTGGCCGCTGGAGATATTAGAGTGTCCCGAAGGTAAAGAGGTGTATGATGGGCATAGACAACTTCTTGCACGTGGACTTTCAGTGTGCATGGGGTCCACTGCGATAACCCAGTGTGCGAACCAGATCCTATCACCGGTCAGATGGACTACTTTTGGCCCATGGTCATTCGGGCCGCTCGTATCAGCGAGATCGCACTGGGTGGGAAAATTATGTGCAGCGCCGACGTCGTTCGTGACATGAATGCCAAGATCTTCGAGAATGGCCAGGACACAGAGTATTCAGAGTTTCAGCCAACACAAACTATCGAGGCGATCCGGCAGATGCTGATAGCCCTTGTCCCTGCCGTGGAAGTGAAATTGAAGGGGTTGGGGACTCCGGAGATGATTTCCCCCGTCTACTCAGCAGCCCTCTCAGGCCGTCAGGATTTAGATGCATCTGGGTCGCATTTGAATTGTGATTTCTATCTCCTTTTCATTCCTCGGTTGCATCACTGTCCTGCATTTGCATTCAACCACGTATATATTACCTGCACGCCCTTGTTACGAGTATCAATGGTCTGTACAACTTTTATACCAGTTCATCTCGACACTACCGAGGGTGAATGACATTCATTCGGACATACAGTTAATCGTGAATAACCTGTGCTGATTTTCTGGACTACGCCTTAAATATGAGTGTTATTCCACAACGACCTCACTACGAAGTCGGCGGGATCAGGACTTTGGACAGTCGCAAGTTCCACGCTGGATATGAATTGAACTGACGGATTGCAATGAGCTATGCGATAACGATATCGGGCAATCAGGCTTACCAGTGCGATCGATACCAGGAATGAGGCAGTAACCATTTGAAGGAAGCCCAGTCGTGGGATCAAAGAAGTACCCAACCGTCCCTGAAGGGTGATCAAGCCACGTCCAAGCACCCACGCCACCCTTGGCAGATAATGTGAACTGCGATTACAGCGATCTGTGGGTCGATGAGGTTGGAATAGGCGAGCGAGACCGGAGTGAACCAATGTACAAAATATTCGTCAGCACAGGCTGTTCGTACCGGAATTTGGAAACAGAAAGGGCATACGTAGTACTCGCCGCTGGTCACAAGTTTCATATCCACAATAGCGGTCACGTTCATCAGGAGCCAGATGTCATTGTCATTGTGACCATGGGGCAGAATAGCGTCGAGGCCGGTTCCCTCGTAGATAAGCGAGTTGTCCAGAGTCGGGATGGAGAATGGCGTGGTCATCGAGCTGATCACATTTCCACTCCAGTCATGCCAATGCAATTGTGCGGTGCTGTTGACCGTCTCCCAGCGGTCAGACGTAGCGAATATGACGAGCGTCTCATTCCCTGGCAACTAGAAGGGATTGATGATGACAGGGGAGTAGACAGTCGCCAAACCATACTGAAGAATTTTCCATCTTCCAGAGTATTCAAAAGCTGACCAGCTGACACCCTGTCAGATGTCGTTCAGGTGCCAAACGGAAATTAAGGAATCTGTGAATTTACTGATGCGGGGCTGCGCCATTACTTATGCAAACCGCTGTAAGCTCAAACATAAGAAAATGGATCTAATTTTTTTAAGTGCAGTGTTCTTACTGGTTCTGGACTTGAATTGGACTTTTTCACGCTTTCGGCGACTCTGACCTCGTTTAAGGGAACATTCAAAATTTTAACAGTATAAATGATCACATTTAGTAGAGCAGAATTATATTCTTCTACAGTTCGCACGGCTACAATATCTTGAAGTCTCATCAAGTCACTGATGTTTGCTCGGCCTGATGAGGGCGATGAAGACGAAGCAGGCTCCGAGGCGGAGGATTAAACTTTCTCATCATGGACTTCACATTGATTTATGCTAGCGTTCGTTGCATACTCACACTTTAGTATCGACTTCTAGTACATATCGTTTGGCCTACTAGTACTTTGCGGACTTCATACGATGTTCATCATCATTACATATCGGTACTCGTGCTTTTGTACCGACCTAATGTCCTTTATCCGAATAACACCATTACCACGTCGTCTCTTGACTTACAGCTTAAGCCCAGTTTTCTTGAAATATGAAATTCCACCCGTCAGCTGATGCCAGTTTATCTATCAATGGGTTGCCTCATAGATCTCATTTGACAAAACACTGATGAGAAATGGAATTCATTGGAACAACTGTCACAGTCTAAGTGCTTCGAAGGGTGTAGGTAAGAGATAATCAGAGAATCATAGAGAGATGTCAGACCTCCGAGGAAACTAGTGATCGTATCAACAAGAGACATAACAAAAGAAGACTCAGGGAGACATTACAACGTACCCTATTTGCGAGATCGCTGCCGTTGCACGCGATCGTTGGAAGAAAATCTAGCAGAATGAACAGGTCCCGAGCCGAATGAGACAGGGTTGAATTTCACTGGGCGAGGGCGGGGTCGAGGTCGAGGTGTGTCAGACTTGCACAGGTCCCTGCTAACTGCTGCCCTTGAGGAAGAGGACATTGGAACCGAATTCTTCTTGGTGAAGGTGTCATAAAACGACGGGGTCTGGTGAACGTGCAGGGAGCGTTGCTCCTCGTGTTCCACAGTCAAGCGGCTGTCATGGCCGCCGCCGTCATTCCAGTCGTGGTTTCTGTCATCATTCCAGTCCATCTCACAGTCAGGAGCAGTTAATGCCTCCTCAACACTGCAGCGCAAGCGGCCACCCTGAACGCCCGCAAGTTGTTCTGGCTGAGCATCGATAGGTGGACTGAGACCAGTGGATAGATGGTGCGGGTAGGAGTGTGGAGATGTAGAGGAAGAAAGGTTGGGAGAAGGCTGAGGGAAGCGTGAGGGTGACTCGGAGACCGATGAATCGCCGTGATCATCCTTGAACTCTACTACCGCCGAGTTGTCCTTGGGTGTGGACGATGGGGAGGATGACTGAGTCTCGTCTAACTGGAGCGGCACTATAGCTTTGCTGGTTGTACCAGCCGCCTGCAGACCGGTGGATGGATGGTGCGGGTAGGAGCATGGAGATGTAGAGTGAGAGCAATCAAGGTTGGGAGAAGGCTGATGGAAGGCAGAAAGTGACTCAGAGAGGGATGAATCGCCATGATCATCCCTGGACACCACTACTGCCGAGTTGTCCTTGGGTGCGGACGATGGGGAGGATGACTGAGTCTCGTCTAACTGGAGCGGCACTATAGCTTTGCTGGTTGTACCAGCCGCCTCCTTGCTTGTGATGGTGGACGGCTGTGGCTGCATGCCCTTGCATCGTTTGTGCGAGGTGCCCTCAGACTCGTCATCTGTGTCGACCGTCAGGGACATTTCATCCCTTCCCTTACCCTTACGCTTCATGGCAGATTTGGCAAGGATTGCGGTCTTGACGGTGGTTTTGGTACGAGGTTTCTTTTTGCTCGTTTTTTTCCTTACAATGGGTTCGAAGTCGACGTCCACAGGGTCACCATCATCAGGGCAATCATCCAACTTTGATAGACCGACAGAGATCAAATCTCCCATGGCGTCACCATCGCCATCAAAGATGCCTCCTGCAAAAATAGTCTTTAGCCAAGCCCTAGGCAGACACGGCAGGTACACACGGAATTCCTTGGGAGCACCAACAAATTCATCATGCATCGCGCCTTTCGAGAATGAGATGTTGTTGAGAAAGACATCTGCGGTCTTCAAGGCAATGGCTCGGTAGATATGCACCTCTTTGACCTGAGGATGACGGTAGATCCGCCCACGTAACTGTCGATCGTCCTGTTCTGACCAAAGCGTATCCTATCACAATGATCAACTGCATTTAGCATGCGAGCGCTTATGATAATGTACGCACCATAACTATCATTATATTACTGCAGGCCAAATTTAAGCCTACCGTCCCCACGCCTGACAAAATCAAGACGCGCGCTCCGTTGGGCCGTGCAGATAATCTAAACTGGTCCAAAATGACCTTGCGTTTCCTCATGGGGGTCTGGCCATTAAGTTCCAGCGCATGTATGCCATTAAGGTCTAAAATCTGGAAGGTAGTATTAAACCAAAAGATTGCAGGAGTCAAGCATGAAACATACATCCACAATGGCATGATTAGATGTGACGAAGGCCGAGAATACTATAATTCGGTCCGGCTCATCTGGGCTGGTATTGCCAGCCGTGAATGCCGGGTTAGGAACTAGGTTGCGACCGCTCTCATCCATCATCAATGGCTGGCGACCGTCAGATTCCAAATGGTACTTAAGAAGTTTAGCCAGAACGTCCAACTTCATACTTTTGGTATCAGGGCTGGTGTGCCATTCTTCCAAGGATTTCGGTTTTGTCCAAGACCGTTCCTCAGTTGGGTTCATATGCGGATGAAGGATAGATCGTCGAAATTCGACGTAGAAATTCTACACAGCAAAAAATCGGTACTTAGATGACAGCTCCGTGACGAAGAGCAATAGACCTCACCTTGCTCATACCCACTATGGGACATTCATCCAAGTATCCCCGTGCAATACACCTTAGATTGTCCATCTCCCAGTCAAGCAGCTTGATTTTCAAGCTATGGTCATGATATGGAGGGAGACCTAGAATTTTTTTGCCTGTATTGTCAGTGGAGTCCAAGGTACGAAGAATGATGGCAGGGGAGAACCACTCTCGCATCCGGCCCATCCATCGTTTCATTGCGGGCAGGTATTCTTCTTCAGCAGCCTCGGGATTGTGATTGCCCACAAAGACAGCTCGCAGTATCGATCCCTCAACCCCCGCCTCTCTCTGCGCCTTACGATCCCTCCGCTGAGCCGCTGCCAATTCTCGGTTCATAGCTTTGAGCTGTGTTATATCTTTGAATCGTTGAAGGCCAAGCAATTGACCCATAATCCAAAGATCCTGGCGCCCATCAGAAGCGATGTTAGCCACTATGTCAGTGACACCAGTGATGTCACTGGCTTACCGACGGTTTTGTGGTGACTGGCGTTGCAGTCATGGCAACCATTGAGTGAGACCTCTCTTGAAGTCCTCGAGCTGCGGTGTGGACCTTGTTGTATTTGCGTGCACAATGAGCTTCGTCAAATAGCGTCACATTGTATTCTCGGCCGAATAGGGTATTGGGACTTGTCCGTTCAAAGCGAGGGCTAGCTATTGGCTGCCCGTAGCTGTCCCTATCGCCTTCAATAAAAACGGTGCCTGCATCGTCGTGTGCCGCCTGTTCAACAATACAATGATTTTATATTCCGCTAGTCTTCCGCAGCAAGCACTTACATTTGTCGTAGTCAGGATAATGCGTCGTATTGGAGGTTGCTGGCACTTGGACCAAGCTATCGTCCACCACTGTGACCGTGCTGTATATTTGCCCGCGTAGGGAAGAACGTCGAACGTGGCTCGCCTTAGATACCGTTGTATTTCACTCATCCATTGATGTTGCAAGTTGGGAGGACACATGATCACAACGGGTAAATCTGGTATGTTGCCCCCAGTCTTCTTGTATGACCGTTGAGCTTTGGGGCATCAGCGCATGCAGCGTTTCCAGATGATGTCAAACGCATTACTTACCAAATTTGCCAGGGAACTTTCCGTGTTTCCTGTGATGCTCCCTGTAGTGCGCCAGGCATGCGATCAATCCGACAGCCTGCATGGTCTTGCCAATGCCAACGCCATCCATCAGCATCACCGGTTCACCTTCCAACACCCTGTCAATCAGCCGCACAATGCCGACTAGCTGGTGCCACCGAGGCGATAGGATCTGAGCCGGACTCGTCGGATCATCAAGCCATAGCTGACCTTCTTCGCTCCAAGGGTCAATGGTAGCATCGGGATCGGATCGTGTCTGAAAAAAAGGGAGTCTCTTCTCTGACAAGCCCAGTTGCTCCCAGAGGTCATCCTCATTGCACTTGTCGTATTCCTCTACACCACTCTTCCAGTCGCTCACATCAATGTTATCCTTGAAATCTATCACCACCTCATCACCTTCAAGGGGCACCATCGCAGCCAGCGTAGTTTCAATCAGCAGTTCAAGCTCCTTAACCTCCTTTTCAGTTGCCAATTTGTCGAGCGCCTCCCGAAGAGGTTTAGGTAGCCCTAAAATAACGCCTTCAGTCACTGCGTACATGCCAGTCGGATATTGACCCACTCACGTGCTATGGATTCTGCCTTAGTGGGGTCTTTCTTGGCAGCGGCCAGCAAGGCATCAACTTGTTCACGACGCGCATTTAGTTTATCGACCGTGCCCTGGTCCTTGAATACGCTAAGAAGTGTGACCAATGATTCTAGTTTCTTCAGGTAGGCGCGAATCCTGACTAATGTGGGTTTTGAATTTGCAGCCGTCATGGCTGCACTACGGTTAGCCCACCGCCCTAACTGACTAGTCTGCCCCGCTTACCTAGCCACTGCTCTTCAACTTCCTGAGCCTTCTTCTCGATACTGTTGGCCTGCCTTTTGACAACCTTCCGATATCTGCTCCATGTCAATACCAACACCATGGTGATAAACGTCATGATAGTTGGCATAACGAAGGATCCGTCGGTGAATGCATCGTCACCGAACAATGCGTCGGCCAATTTGACGGAAACCGCCTGCTTCGCCTGTGCAGCTTCCATCGTCGGAAACTAAGTGCACGACTGTGTCATATTAGGAGGTTGACGGATTGGCACATAACTCACATCATCCGCGTTCTTGCAATTCATCCTTGCCATAACATCGTGTGGCTCACAACCGCTTTCTTGCAAGATATTGTCAACCAGTGTATTGATCTTCCATTTAGCCCATGACGTTTTAACCCAGGCGTTCCACGAGGAACGACCTTCATGGTCATTGTCCTTCCACTTCACAGCATAGTGTTCCACAGGGTCTTCGGCCATCTTACAATTGTTCATGAAGGTTTCGACTGCCTGAGCCTGACCTATCGTCCATTCAGCGACATGGGTTACTGTGCCCTCACCACGGTCGTACGTCCACGGGTCGCCAAAAACGTTTGTCAGAGACTGCCATACTGGATTGGACCATGGTAGCGCCGGATCTGCTATCCAGAGTTGGATTAGAGCAAGAGGGAGTGGAATAGCTGGCATCTTGGACAGGAATTATGAGCGCTTGAGCGATAGCCTTTTCATGACTCTGCGTATCCCACGAAGCTACTATTCGGTACGTACATGATGGCAGGGCCATCTGCCAGATGCCGGCAAAATTGTAATGTTTAGCAAGCCTCTGAGCAGTGAGCATGCAAAACTGTTCATAGACTAAAAAATTTTCAACTTAGCGCGCCACAATACGATCGTGCGAAAGAGCCAAACAATTACAGAAAGTCAAATTTCCGGCAGTCTCCGTCCGGCTGCGTGCGGGTCTGTCCAAATCCGTGACGCTGCCATCACAATTCAAAAACTAAATAAGGCAAAGCGACAATGCTGAAAATAAGAGGGCATCTGGGAATCCGAATTTGCGGGTCCGTCTGTCCGGGTCTGTCCGGCATGCAAATCATAGTACAAATAACGAAGTACAAGTCTAAGTTAAAAAAAAAAGGCACATATGTCGGAAATTTCCAGAGGTGCCTTGCAAGTATTCTATATTGGGACACTATTTAGGTAGTATTGGAAGTAAATTCCCAGGGGGTGACTTACTTGCAAGTGTACCTAGAGCGCGTTGATTCCAATAGGGACGTTCAAAGCTGTTTTTACGAGCCGTTTTCGACGCCGTTTCCAAATTTGATTTCGACTGTCTGTGGAAAACGAACTGATTTCGACAACCTGCTATTTTCGTTCGGCATCAACGGCACGGACTCTGAAATCCGGTGTTATCCGACTGCCGAACAACTTGTGCGCTGGCTGTGCTGGGTGCCGATGACGACGACAAGGGTGTTACTGGAGACGCGCCTCGCTGCTGCGCAGAACTCCGCAATGGCAAAGGCGAGCAAATGCCGCCCTCCGAATTCCCGTGCTAAGTCCACAGGCACTGACGCGAAGGAGAACTTAGATCCTCACGCTGTTGTGACTGCAACAGCAGACAAAAGAAGGACTGTTCTTGTAGCGTGAGTTGTCCAGTATTATTATGCACTCTACTACTGACTATTTTATGAGCCAGTTGGTCTAAACCCGAGAATCACCACCTTACAGACTCGTTACTCACTCTCATTGAGGAGAGTAACACCTATCGAAAGGCATTTGGATTCGCGTTGCTCCCCGGTAGTGGCAAGGTTGCTTCAACTGGAAACCGGCCTGCAAATCTCTACCGGCAATTGGCTACAGCCCTTTTTCTCGATCACGAGGACTCACCATGGAAGGATGTAGGCCTCAATGACCTTGCAGAAGCTGTCAAGAACCGTGTGGCGAAGTACATATTTTTCTTCAATTCAATTTTGTATCGAAAGCTTACAGTTATGTATACAGTGGACTGCGCAAGGCATTCATCAAGCACCGTGATTCAATGTCACAGACTGGTCAGGGTTTGATTGATGCTGATCGCGAGGATGAGATAACTTTTGGCAGCGAGATTTTTAATGCATGGGGTATGATTTAGCAAGTGTCCGTGATGAGTGCTAATACCTCTTTCTGACACAGACCAAGTGAAGAAAAAATTTCCGTGGTACAAACGGATGAATGCCTTGTATCGCGAGAGTCCTGCTGTAGACCGCTCTGCTTTGGCTAACAGTGCATCTCAACTCGATCTAAGTGTTCTCAATTGTTCGCAGGTGGGTAGTATTATGTCATGCCTTCGAGTACACTTCAGATACTATTGCAATGTTGTAGACTATGGATGATGACGAGATACCAATTGAGTGGCCTCGCTCGCCAACTCCCGAGCATACGAACAATGATGACAAATCAAGTATTGTCTTCACTCCTCCCTCTACACCTGCCTCGCGTGCTAAGCCAGAGCCACCTTCTGTCCGTCGTGCGAGTGGCCAGAAACGAAAGTCGATGCACAGCCATATCGAGGACCTTACCACCTCCCTTGGTGAATTGAGGGTGAAAGTTGCTCGAGTGCGAGAGCGAGAACATACTCTGCGAGCCCAGGCAAAGGAAGACCGAAAAAAGGCTGAGTTTGATTCTCGCCTCCAGTTTAAGGCTGCCGAAGCTGAACGACAGCGTGCACATGAGCTCGCTATGCTTGAACGGCAAATTGAACTCGAACGTTTGCGAGCTCAACCTAACTTTGCCAGTTCCTCGTCTGCAGGCCTTCGTCAGAGTGACCCCCCCCACTCTGGACCATCGATTCCGTGGGCCATTGATCCATCTCTTTGTTAGCTTGTTTTTTGCCTACTATTGTGTGTTCTTCGCAATTATCATCCTCTCCTTTCGAGTTCCACTCTTTTCTACCACTACTGATTAATATCCAGCCATTCAAGTAAATTCTCTTTCAGTTATGAGACCCCCTAGGATCCACCTAGGATCGATTTTTCTTAGTTTTTGATTATCACTCAGGTACCAGATGTGGGAGTCCAGGACTCCCACTGTGTGCAGGCCTCAAACCCCCTGAGTACCAGATGTGGGAGTCCAGGACTCCCACTGTGTGCAGGCCTCAAACCCCCTGAGTACCAGATGTGGGAGTCCAGGACTCCCACTGTGTGCAGGCCTCAAACCCCCTGAGTACCAGATGTGGGAGTCCAGGACTCCCACTGTGTGCAGGCCTCAAACCCCCTGAGTATCAAATGTGGGAGTCCAGGACTCCCACCATGTACAGGCCTCAAACCCCCTGAGTATCAAATGTGGGAGTCCAGGACTCCCACTGTGTGCAGGCCTCAAACCCCCTGAGTACCAGATGTGGGAGTCCAGGACTCCCACTGTGTACAGGCCTCAAACCCCCTGAGTATCAAATGTGGGAGTCCAGGACTCCCACTGTGTGCAGGCCTCAAACCACCTGAGTACCAGATGTGGGAGTCCAGGACTCCCACTGTGTACAGGCCGCAATACCATGTGTATCAGATATGGGAGTCCCACCATGTGCGGGCTTCAAATCACCTGAGTACCAGATGTGGGAGTGGTACTCAGGTGATTTGAGGCCTGCACATGGTGGGAGTCCTGAACTCCCACATCTGGTACTCAGGGGGTTTGAGGCCTGCACACAGTGGGAGTCCTGGACTCCCACATCTGGTACTCAGGTGGTTTGAGGCCTGCACACAGTGGGAGTCCTGGACTCCCACATCTGGTACTCAGGGGGTTTGAGGCCTGTACACAGTGGGAGTCCTGGACTCCCACATCTGGTACTCAGGGGGTTTGAGGCCTGTACATGGTGGGAGTCCTGGACTCCCACATCTGGTACACATATCTGATACACATATCTGATACACATATCTGATACACATATCTGATACACATATCTGATACACATATCTGATACACATATCTGATACACATATCTGATACACATATCTGATACACATATCTGATACACATATCTGATACACATATCTGATACACATATCTGATACGGCCTGTACACAGTGGGAGTCCTGGACTCCCACCATGTGCAGGCCTCTTCTTACATAATCCTGCCTGTTGTATATTTTCCCATGCGATGTGTATGAATTTAATTATATGGAGTCATTAATGGGTCTCAGAGTAACCACATGCTGTGACAAAAACTTCGGCACTACACGGCAATTTCGGCAGCTTTGAACTTTGACATACCGCGATGATTGGACTTACCATCTACACTATGGTGCTGTTCACTTATGTGCCGCTACATTTGTGCAAACTTTCTGTCTTGTAAAAACACTTAGATTAATGATAGGAACATATTGTCAAGAGCGATTTTGCATAGCATTAAATTTGAGCGAGATAAATTTTCGGACATGACCCAAATTGGCGGTGACCGGTAAAATCAGTCGAAAAGACATGCTACAGTCTCCAGACCACGTCTATGAGACTTGTACTTCCTTGAGCTGAACTCCTTGACCTGCAACTGTGCTTTTTTCGTCTCCAGACCTGACCGATAAGCATCCATCCACCTGTGCATCCGATGCTCCATAACCGGATTGTGCTGAGACGTACAGAAGCCATAGCTTTCGGCAAGTTGGTTTTGAGTGTTGCGCAGCCTCGCTGGATATAACTGGAGCAGTAGCAGTATACAGTTGAGCTTGTCAGGGCGAGTCTTGCACGAGCGGCTGCCTCTTTATGGTACTTTCGGGCCATTGAATGAAGATTGAAATATAAAACTTTCGTCTGTACATAGTATACTAATGTCTCGCAACTCACAAAACGACGTTGATGCCTGGTATACTAACATCGAAGCTGCGCCTGCCATTTTGAGCAATGGGTTAGGGTTGGAACTTTTTGGCCATCGATTTGGCGGTTGCCCCAAAGTAGCGGCGCATAAGTGAACAGCACCATAGATGTGGCTCTTCACTGTGTCCCACAGCGCATCATGGCAGGAGTCGCGACTGGTTGTGGATGTGGATCTCGAGGTCGCCCAGTGAAGCGTGGTAGCCATGGACTGATAGCTGATTCATCTGCTCCTCCCAGTGCCAGCCCGCCTGCCAGCACTGGATCAGCTCCAGCACTCAAGATGCCTACTATACACTGGGAGAAGAAGAACAGTCCACATACCGCTCGCCTTATCGAGTGGTGCAAAATCAACCAAGATGCTCGACTAAAAATATTCTCTGATTCTGCCAAGGATGCAAAGGAGGAAGGGCGCACGCGTCAGCAGATGACCACTCAGAAGAACACTTATATGCAGCAGCTCGCAGCATCTGTTTTCGCAGGCGATGAAGATCTGAAGGTCAGGGAATACTTTCAAGCACACTTTCTCGCTTTTGTGAAGCCCATTCAAGGCCGATTTACATCATGAGTTGCTGCCAGCATTCCCATGTTCTTCAGCGCCAACCTAGCTACTAACAAGGTGTTTTAGGCTACACAAAAAATATAACGAGATCAATCTACAACTTGGTCAGACAGATGCTGGACTTTCATTTGAGGAGCTCAACGAGAATGAGAAAACAAGGACGCTTCTTGGTCAGTACACTCTTTCTCTGCGGGCATGCACTCTGACAATTTTGTAGACCGCCTCTTGCAGACATTCCCGTGGTGGGTTGACCTCCACAGGTGGTGGAGAACCAATCCTGCCTATAATACGTCATTTTCGACTGCCGACCCAGGTCAGGATTTCTCGGCTGAGGCAATGGATGTCTTTGGTAAAGGGAAAGGGAAAGAGACTCTGGATGATGCAGATCGTGAGGATGACGAGGGAGGGGATGCAGGTGCTCTCAACAGGGACCTTAAGCCGGGCGAAATTTTGGATGGCGAGGCCGATAAAGATGATGATCCTCCTGCGCGAGTTGATGATTCTAGCTTACACATGTTTCGTGATAATGAAGGTCCAGGCTGGGTTAGCCCAGACGATACCTCTAACTCTCCATCTTCACGCTTCCCTTGCCCTCAACTTCCCTGGGCACCATCATCTGCTTCTTCAACTCATTTTCAACCATCTAATCTTCACCACTACCAATGCCCATCCATCACCCATCTCGACACAACGCAGCAAAGCATACCACTAGGACCCAACGAGATCTCCCTCAACTCCCCCGAACGAGCAGATAGGCCCAAATACCCCTTGCCATCCACCAATGCCACTGGTAGCAAAGCCAGAGCTGCATCTGTGCAGATGGATACCTCTGAGGACTCTGACACTGCTGCAAGCTGCATGATGAAATCACTTACTGTGCATTCCATTCACGCAAGGCCAGCCTTGGTGTTCGTACTTCTCATACTTCCGGTGGTCATGTATCATCTGATCAAGACTCAGATCAATCGCCAACTACATCTCACAAATGGCCACGAGACCCAGCAGCTGAGCTCACGATGAAGCTGAATGAGGCGTCAGATACACTCGTTCAGCACATATGCGAGGCGTCCACAGTCAAGGCCGACCACAAACGCCTCAAGCTAGAGACCCAATTGGCAAGCAGAGAGCTAAAGATGTGCAAATCTCATGCTGAGCGTGAACATGGACTCCGGAGCACAATAGCCATTCAAAACCATGAGCATGCAATGGCAGATGAACGGACGAAGCAGCTGGAATTGGAGATCAAGCTCGAGCAAGTGAGGTTGGAACATTTGATTATGGAAAAAGATTTGGCTCGTCAGGATCCCAGTGCTGAGAATTGCAACTAATTGCTTGATGTTTGTTCTGCTTTCGCTTTGCTTCCCTCGCTGTTGACATTTTAGCTCACAAATTCTTTACAGTGTTCTAGCTCGTTCTTCATTATTGTAGGTTCAAACATTGTGATGTATGCTAGAAGAATTTAACAGTGTATTGGTTGAAGTCACTTCTGGCTACTGTATTTTCCTTGAGTTTGAAGCAAGCAGGCTGTTGACATGAAGACCACCGCACTTTCCTCGCATCACTCATTCTAGGCTCTTGCATCCACCGCACTTTCCTCGCATCACTCATTCTAGGGTCTTGCATCCAGGGCTTCATGCGCTCTTGGTTGTGAATGAATTCCTCTTCCAGGAGCAGGTAGTCTATAATGTGGTCCATCTTAAGTAGATGAAGTCTACACCTTATAGCAGGGAAGACAGGGGGTAGCTTTGAGGCAGCGTCCACCGCACTTTCCTCACATCACTCATTCTAGGTCCTTGGGTAAATTTACTAAAGTACGTATCTACTACCTGTCACTGTTGATATCGCAGTAACTGGCCCATCAGCGTGTTTCGAAAAATCTGTCCTTCAGACCCGATAAAACCTTCATCCCCAGCTCCTTCTTGTTCAGCATTGTCCCCATCCTCCTGTGCACTGCCCTGTGCTCCATGACCCCACTGCCTTGCTTCCTGGGCAAAATGATTGAATGTACCAGTACCGCCAAGCTGTTCCTCGATGTCGACAATCATATTATGCAAAATAAAGCAGCAACGGGTCCACATATTCACTTCATCAAGGTCTTTTGCGCCTGTATTTGACCCCGAAGTTCATAAAGAGATTGAAATTGCCCTTTCAAAGAACCATAGCAGTGCTCGGAGCAAACACGGACCTGCAGATGTTGAGTTGACAGTTGTGACTCAGAGAACAATTTGTACTACCTTCGACAGATGATAATTAAATGTTTTTTGATCACACGTCAATCCACCAGCTGCCGCTGCTTAAAAGGTACAACACACCACGGGCGAGCACCATAGGCTGAATCTGCCCAGATCCACTCATTTCCCCCCCAAAATGTTTGCGGATGGCGTGAAATTCGAGCTTTTGCAAACATGTTTGAGTCGTGGACACTCCCGGGGACTCCGATCACATAATCGACAATGTGCAGGTTGTGGGGCATAATTATGACCTTCTGAAATGTTAGTTTGATTTTCTCTGCTCTAACTCGTGACGCACTTGGGCTGACAATGAATAATTCAATTTACGGTCATAAAATCCCTCACCGTGCCACCCAGGCTTCTGAAACAGATTGAATGGTGTGCCATCAATGCTAAGAAATCCACCCCTCCACTCTGGACAAGTCTGTCCTTCAACCCAGTCCTTCGCTCTCTCTCTCGCTCATTTTGATCATCGTGATCAAGCGGATCAAAGTGGATTACATGGTCGTGGTGCTGAAGGATAGCAACCATGACATGATGATGACAATTATATACCGTCCCGATCGAGACACCGGCCCAATCGCGATGTCTTCTGTTGTCGTGGCATTTCCATAGTGGCCGGCGATATTCAAGACTATAGCGAGCTGTACTGGGACTGGCAATTGAGGGTTGCGTGAGTTGTTATGGAATATAGGATGATTGCTGATTTTATTGACAATCTCCACAAAGACTGGAGGATCAACACGAAGCTTACAACAGAATTTTTCAGGTTTATCCAGCGCCCACTCCTCAAGCAGATGTAGCTGCGGGGCCCGGCTAGATTTTGGATGAGCGAAGAGTATCTGTGACTTTTCCACTTCATCAGCTAAGGCTTGAACTGTGTTACTGAATTCGAGGAAGGGATGCGAGCATGTCAGTATTTCTGTTGCGTCCGTGGATGTCGCAAACAAGAAAATCGACTCGCTAAGTGAGGATTCTGACGATGTGGACTGGCAATCAGAATCAGAATCATCACTATCATCGGAGTCTTCGAGTCCTTCCATGGCGAGTTTGATGAGTTCACAGTAGCGAGCATATTGGAGATCGAGCTGCTTAGCACGCAGTGCCTGCAAGATCTGTTGTTGAGCGGATGTGCGAGGCATGATGTTTATTATCACGATCATCGATTGTACTTAGCAATAGAACTGATACCTATCGTATTCTGGCGGAGCTTGAATACCTCTGGAACTTTGTTTCGTTTGGATGTTTCTAATGGTTCGTAAATTTAACTTTGAGAACCACTATTGTGAAGCAAGCCATGCACTGTGGGAGTCTTGGACTGCCACCCTGCATACACTACACAGTCTGACACATCTAAGAAGTAATGTATGACGGTTTCAGGAACACTCAGGTGCTTGTCCTCTTTGCCAGTGTATCTCTAACAACCTCAGAAGCGCAGGTGTTTGGATCCCCTGGGCTGATCATTGGCGGCATATGTGACCTCCTTGCTTCTCGTGACAGCAGTTAATGGTCTAGATGGCTGCTTCATGGCCTTCTTCTGAGGTCTGGCAGGCTCCTTGGTACTTCCGAATGTGGCAATCTCTGGTTTTGGCACGTCGCCAATGGCAGCTGGTGTCTGCCATGCACTTTGCTGTGGCAGAGCAGTGTTAGACTTGAGCTTGCAGGGTTTGTTGGTCAGGAGTGTGGCTTGCGGTGGTGGGGTCACATCCTTTCAACGGGCAGTGAAAAGTGGTCCATCATTTTCACTCAATGAGTGACCATCATCACCATATAACTCATCCTCTGAACTGCTGTCTTTGATGGTCCAGTGAGATGGTAAGGCATTGCCTTTGTACTTCCCCTTTTGCTGGGTTCATTGAGTGCGGTTTCCATTCATGGCGGCCTGCTGGGGTGCTGGATAAACAACTGCCTCACAGATTTCCCCATCAGAATCTTGCCACGCCGTGAATGAAAAGGCTGTTTGAATATGCTGTTCTTGCCAAGCCCACCAGAATTGTAGCAAAGCACTTGCATCCAATATGTCCATTTTGGAGGGTTCCTTGAACTGCATGTTGGCGGGCCAATGTGTGCCATCAAAGAACACCAATGGAGGTAGCGCCAGTGCCTTATAGTAGAAGTCATCGCTCCACCATAGTGCATCTTTCATAGTGTCACCTTGACTTGTCGCACCGACTCACCTGGTGACTAGAGCGAGCATCTCCACGGCCTACCTTGTGTGACAAGCCAGCCTGACGGACTTTGTTTTCTCACCCAGATTCCCTTGGTTCGTCTTCTTTGTTTTCTCTTCTCTCTGCAGTTGTTGTGATCCTTACACCCCAGTCTTGTTTCTGTTCTCAAAGTATTTTCTAACCTCTCTTGTCTACTCTTTTCCAACGTATTTTAGACTGTTCAGCCTCTCTCATCTACTCTTTTTTTTATCATACTTCAAATTGTCCAGCCTCTCTCGCTTATTCCTTCTCAGCACACCTTAGATTTCTCAGCTTCTCTCATCTACTCATTTGATAGATCTTAACATTACCAGCCTCTGTCATATACTCCTTCTAGATATCCACATCACACGCAGTCACCACAGCCCTCAAGATCAAAGACATTGCGAAGCTTCGCAACATCCCATCAGAACAGCCAGTGTTCTCGCTAAGTCCCCGCAGACAAGCCTCCAACTCCTTGTTAAACATACATATTGCCTCTCCCCCACCCCAACCACCAGCCGACTTCGCACCCAACCTTTGTCATATTCGACAGAAGCATCAGGCCAACCAACAGTCGTCAAAAGTGCAAACCCATACACAAGTTTACCCAGCATTACCTATGTCAACGATTACCACACTGCCAGTCTTACCATTACTCCGAGGCGACTACACAGGAGGAGAAGAGCATAATGAATGGCTACGACAGCTCGACCTCAACCTGCCTATAACATGGAACGACACGCAAAAGGTTGACAGGTTCCATTGGCAATGTGCCCCAGGAAGCTTGGCCGAGACATGGTTCACCACACTGACATTGTTACGACTGGGATGAGTCGAGCTATCTCTGTCTGAGTAGACAATCGGCAGGATGCCTAGATAGACGTGAGTCTGCTCTCGATTGAGAGATCAAGGTTTCTGGCTAAGG